CTCGCGTGCCCGTTGCACTTGCACCTGCAAGGAGCGGAGCAGGGCAGGAGCGCGCGCCCTGCGGCCACCTCATGCCGCTGGGGACAAGCCGGCTCAGCCCTCTGCCCACAGGGATGCTCTGGTGCTCTTGCGTGGGCTCTTTGCCTAGCCCCATGGGGGCAGCTCTGCTCCAAGGCTGGGAAAAGTCAAATCTGAGCAGCAGCAAAGTGACCGAGATGGTGCCAGAGACGAGCTGTGCCAGTGGCCAGCCCCAGCGCGCGCCCGGGGAGCTCCCTCACCTGCCGCCCACGGAGAAGTCGGAGATGGCGTAGTAGTAGGACTGCAGCACCTTGGGGTCCTTGAAGATGTCGTCGCCAAAAGTGTTGAGCCGGTTCAAGGAGATGAGCAAGTCGGTGACAGTCACCCACTCCTGCAGAGGACACGGCCAAGGCGCTCCGGCCGCCTGCTCGCCATCCGCCGCGAATCCCAAGCATCCCCGGAGGGGACGGAGCCCCTCCGGCGCCCTGCCCGAACCTGCAGGGCCGGGCTGCTGTCGAAGTTGTAGGCGCTGGGGCGGCCCTCCAGCGTGGAGAAGGCCACGTTGCCGCCGCTCAGCGGGGAGATGTCGCTGAACTCGTCGGAGCAGAAGGCCACGCGCTCGTCCTCGCCCGGGCGCGGGGGCTGCCGCGGCCGCTGCCCATAGGTCCTCTCGCAGGACGCGCTGTAGTACTGGAAGGGCAGCCAGGGCCCCTCGGCGCGGCTGCGCTTGTAGATGGCGAAGCTCTCCGGGCGGCTCGTGTGAAACTTCAGCCGCACGTAGGTGATCTCGTAGGCTTTGCCTGGGGCGGGCAGGCAGCGCCGTCATAACCAGGGGCTCCCACTGCCCGCCCGTCCCCAAAAAGTGGCACAAATCAGCACTGTCCCCACTGAAAATAGCTGTGCGAGGGGTTGCACGATGGGGACACCCCGCGGCGGGGACGGCCGAGCGCGGTGCTGGGAGCGGACCCACCACGCGTCCCGAGCAGCCTGGCTGGCGTCACCGTGTTCACAGCAGCCGTTTCCCCCACCTTCCTGCCTCAACAGATGTGCACAGATGTGCGGCCGCCAGCGCTCAGACACCGCCTGCGCTGGTGCCGGGGAGGGGGCCGCGGGCAGCGCCG